GGTGCCGGCGAGGCCTCCCGGGGCCTCCTCTGGCCCTGGGCTCCGCTTCGGGCGGGTCTGGGGCGCTGCTCCAACCTTGAGTGCCCCCCGGGGGGCTGGGGGCCCTGCTTGCACCCCACGGTGACCTGGGGTCCTCCCTTCGGCCTAGGGTGACCCTGGGGTCCCCAGCGTGGGCGCTGTGATCCCCCTTTTTGGCCTAGGGTGGCCCTAGGGTGGCCCCTTTGGGTCCTGGAGTCACCCATGCACCTAAGATGACCTTGGGGTCTCCCGTTTGGGTCCTGGGATCCCCCCTTTGGGCCTGGGGTGGCCTTGGGTTGCCCCGTTTGGGCCTGGCATGACCTTGGGGTCCCTCAGTTGGGCTCTGGGGTGCCCTCCTGCACTCTAGGGTGACCTGGGGGTTCCCCCTTTGAGTCCCAGAGTCCCCCTCTTTGGGCCTAGAGTGGTCCTGGGGTCCCCCCTTTTGGTCTAGGGTGGCCCTGGGGTGTCCGCTCTGGGCCTGGAGTGACCTTGGGATCCCTCAGTTGGGTCCTGGCATGTCTGATGTGGGCCCTGGGGACCCCCTTGCACTCTAGGCGGATCTTGGGGTCCCCCCCTGCACTCCCAAGTGACTTTGGGGTCCCCCCTTTGGGCTTTGGGGTCCCTCCGTTGCGCCTAGGGTGGCACCTGTGTCCCTCCTTTTGACCTAGAGTGGCCCTGGGGTGCCCCCTTTGGACCTGGAGTGACCTTGGAGTCCCCCACTTGGACCCTGAGGTGGCCCCTTTACGTGTTGGGGAGCCCTTTTTGAGCCCTGGGGTCCCCCACTTTGGACCTAGTGTGTCCCTTTGGACCCCAGTGTCCCCCCTTGCACCCTGGGGACGGGGAGCAGCGGGAGCGCGTGTCCCTAGGGGGGTCCCCGGGGCTCGGCGGGTGTCAGACCCGATCCCGGCACTTGGCGAAGGGGCCTCACGCTGGGGAGGGCACCCTGGGGTGCTCCCGGCCCTGTGGATGCGGCTCCCAAAAGCCACCCGAGCCAGATGGACCTGCTGGACCGGCTCAGCTCCCAGGGAAATGTGGGGAAACTGAGGCAGCTCCCGAGCCTGGAAGCAGCTCCCGGACGCTGGATCTCTCTGGACTCAGCACCGTTTGGACACGACCATCCCGAGCTCCTGCTGCTCCTCGTGCTGCTTTTTGGAAGACCCAAACGGGAGGGTTTTGTACCCGCGGCCGGGTGGTGCTCCCAGCTTGTGGCTTGTCCCCCAGCTCCCGGGTGTCCCCGGAGCGCATCCCGCCGGCTCCCGGCAGCGCCGGACACCGGATCCCGGTGTTGCGCGACACGGTGGTGTCCGTTTCCCGCCGGGAGCACGGCCAGGCGCCGCGGGCAGGACGGGACAGGTCCCGCTGGGATGCGATCCGGGATCCCGGCGAATTTCCTCGCTCGGAGCCGCTTCCCCAAATCCGTCTCATCCTTCAGCGCCGCTGGGAAGGAGCGGGGGTGACGTGGTGTCCCCAGGGTGTCCTCACGCGTGTCCCCGCGTGTAACCGCGTCCTCCTGCTCTGCCTTTCAGATGGGCCGACAGGTTCAGCGCCGCCGGCTGCGACGGCTCGGAGGAGCACGCGTTCAAGCACCCCTTCCTGCAGGTGAGGCCAACG